CTACCTAGAGGCCGTGTAGAATATAACAGTAAAAATATAAATACTATTTACACATTATATTGTAATATGCTAAACTATCATTACGAAAGAGGAAAAACAGATTTTAAATAATTAATTAGATAAAATCAATCCTTATAGCTATTGATGCAGAGATCATACTGTTTAATTCTCTTTTTAAATTTTGAGAGGGAGCGCTCCTCTTTCAAGAAATCAGGTAAGGAGTTCCATAATTTTGCACCAGTGTACGCAAAACTTGTCTTATAGATATAGATGTCTAAATCCTGATTGAAGAGAATAGATTAAGTTATCTTCCTTAAGATAAGATTTTAATTGACTACAGATCAATTTTTTAAAAACGCGAGAAATTGTAATGGTGGATGGATGGGTGGATGGGTGGGTAGACGGATGGGTGGATGGATGGGTGGATGGGTGGGTGGGTGGATGGCCGGGTGGGTGGATGGATGGGTAGATGAATGGATGAATGAAAGTATGAATGAATGGAAGAATGGATAAATAGATGGATGAATAAATGGATAGAAGAATGAACTCCCGATTCTGTTATTTATTAAAAGTAACAACTAAAGAAAAGTCAAAAACAAAAAGACAACAAACAAAGAACAAATGATAAATGCAGCTATCTTACGTTAGCCTGGTGCAGGAAGATACCAGTTTTCTGTTTGGTGCGAAAAGAGATGCTCAAGGTAAAAGACGGAGATTCCGAATCGGCGATTCCCAAACCATCCATGATAAGATAGCTGTCGGGCGCTAGTAAGGTTAGGTATCGTACAGGCTGGAAAACAAGCAAGATAGTATATCATTAACTGAATCCAAGTAGGATGACCTGAAGTAAATAACATGAAATATTAAGAGGCCTGATTATTGCACGTAAAGACAAGGTCCTCTTCCCGTCAGCTCCCCTGGAGATGTTTATTACCATGAAAATAAATGTCTGCTGTGCGATGTGAAGTATTACTGATAACAATATTCTGATTTCTTCATAGGCCTCTTCTGAGATCGATAAATATGATGCATTGTGGTATATCGTGGGCACGAACAACACCATTTAAGGCATGGTGGAAAAAGGATGTTTGTACCCAAGCTAGACCACAATGCACCATATTTGCGGATCGCTATCTCAGGAAAGATGTATGTCATTGTTCTTTATGTTTAGTAAAAATACACATGTAATTATTGAAAACCTCGCGCGCTGATTGGTTGAGAAAATCAGATAATCACACGATAATCACCTCCAGCGATAATCCAAAATGGCGGCCAGCCGCTTTATTGTCTTAAATGTGTCTTTTATCTACTTTTCTTTCTTTCTTTCTTTTTTTTCTTCAAAGAATCACCTGTGTATTTATACTAATACAATTATTCACCTCAGGCTCAGTGAATATCGGGAATAATAACCTCAACTTCGTTTCGGTTATTATTCCCCGATATTCACTTCGCCTTCGGCGAATAATTATTAAATATTGCTTACCCGAGGTAAACATGTTTTTTCAAAACCAACTGAACTGATATCTTCTCTTAGGACTGTTGCTATTGTAGGATTAGCAATACAGCCGCTAAAGTCCACTATTTTATCAAAGTTCCTGTAAGGAAATGCCAAGGCGTCATTAGAGTAATTATAACAAAATATGGAATGGGTTCCCTGTGGTAACTTAAATCACAAAATGAAGAAGGGAAGAAAGACTGGTCAAGGTCAGTCCAGAACCCCGTAGTTCAGATTTTCTTTCAGCAATCATGGCCTTCTCCCCTTTTTTGTCCCCCAATCCTCTCCCCGGCTGCGAGAGACGCTACAATCATTTTTCATTTCATGTCTGCGCATGTCTGATTCCCTTGAGTTTGATTTCTTTGTTTGACAGTAGCCACCACCGCAAGTACAGCAGTGGCGCAGCTCAACGGGATCCAACTGAAAGCATGTGAAGGCGCGTCTGGCAGCCGCTATCAGGGTTCGTGCCGAGGTAACCACTTAAAATTCAAGGACTATTCTAGGAGAATACAAGGACCCAAAAATGAATTTTCAAGGAGTATGTTCAGCTAAATATGCCAAGGTTTTACAAGGTGGTTGCACATGGCTGACTTTCAGATTTTCCGATCTTTCTGACTAGATCTATTTCAGCACCATGCAAGTAATGATCAAAGCAAAAATTTACGGAGTTTTCAAGGAGTTTTGCTAAAATCGTAAAATTCAAGAGCTTTTCAAGTGCCTTTGAAAATGTGAATTAAATTCAAGGAGTTTTCAAGGAGTTTGAGGAGTAGCATGAACCCTGCGCTATACAGTCCATGTAGCGTTTGATAAAACACATGAATATGGATAGACAAACAAAAATTCCTACTCCAAAGAGATTTGAAATGGGAAAAAAGCGTCCATTATTTGTCGAATAGTGATAAGATGAAATGGTGAGTGGTTGAAGCCGTTTCGATTGAACGTTTCACTTGCCAGCCAGCCAGCCAGCCAGCCAGCCAGCCAGCCATCCAGCCATCCATATTTCAGTGCAGTGTCATATTCAATAAACAATAAATAGAAAGTTATACTTACACCCCGACAGGCGTGGGTTTCTCCGTCTTGTTGCCCCTCTCTCTACCACCGAAGTAAATATATTTAGCAGACACTAAATCAGCACCTCCAGTATCATAATATCGTTTCCTATTGGCTAATATTTCACTGTCAAACTTCAGTGTAAAGTGTTGACGAGTGTCTAGGTCTTCTAGCAGTGACACCTCGTGATCCTGACCATCACTGCAGGGTGTGGAGGCCATCAACATGCGTATCCCTCTACCTTGGTTATACATAAACCTGAAGGTGGAGTCGACGATATCCATCATCATGAATACTTCAGGCCTATTGTCTCTGACGGCGAGCAGGAGGAGACCACGTGATTCGGCGGTCTTGAACGTAAAAGAGACTCTACTCAACTGACTTGTTCTGTAGGGGCCGACTTTCAGGTAACCGTGGCCATTGAATCTGTATGTGTTGAGTTCTTCTTTGGGTTTGAAGGCCAAGCGATCGTAAAATACAGTCGGGGAGACGAGTTTCTGCGGATATACAAAGTCACAGTTTTAATTTAGAAAAGGGAAGCAGATTTCCATCAAACAATCATTGCGCACTCTTGTTTTGTTTGGAAGGCCAAATAATAGAAAAATACATAAGAAGATATGGGTTCTTTCTGACATAGTTCTGATTCCCCTTAGTTACCGTTGTTATGTCCAACAAGCTCAACAAATTATCTAGAATATCTCAGAATTTAAAACTCTGATCGCGGAAAATTGGTTATAAATTGCTTCAACTGTTTCATGTCCTGTGAAAATAAAAGGAAATTGCCTCGTAATCCTTGTAGTACTTTTTAAAACAGATACGGTGTAGCTGTTTGTGGGACAAGATCTTTATTCCATTGGGAAAACTGCTGCTATTGTCTGACTCGTAACTATGAATAGTTTTAGTATAGATTTAGTACAGGAAACACATTCGTCACACAACCACTGCACAGGAGACACATTTGTCACGCAACCACGGCGCAATGAAGGATACTCTATTGACAAGTACAATTACTATACCTCTGCATTCCACAGTCCAACGGGAAGAAAGTCGATCCTCAGTCCATCCATAGGTCCTTGATATTTATTCATGTTGATGTTGGGTGGGACTTTGACGCCACTCGGTATCCCACCAACCAACAGGAAGTTGTTGTCCTTGTCAATGCGCAACACAGGGTTGGGCAAGTCAATCTAAATAGTACGATACAGTGAGAGGTAGGAGTTATTAGGTGGTTAATGACTATAGAATATAGTGATCCATCCCACTAACCATCAACAACACAGGGTTGGGCAAGTCAATCTAAATAGTACGATACAATGAGAAGTTATTAGGTGGTTAATGAATATAGAATATGATCCATTCCACCAACCATCAACAACACAGGGTTGGGCAAGTCAATCTAAATAGTACGATACAGTGAGAGGTTATTAGGTGGTTAATGAATATAGAATATAGTGATCTATCCCACCAACCATCAACAACACAGGGTTGGGCAAGTCAATCTAAAGAGTGGAGTCAAGGCATTTAACCCGTGAAATAAAAAATACTAGTCAACGTGTAATAATCAAATACACACAAAAGAAGACAATGGAATTAGGGTCTACTAATGTGTATTAGTGTAATATCTATTTCACGGGTTTAGTGACTTCACTCTATGATCCAGTGAGCGTTTACCTATCTCATACTGTATCTCCATTCTAAAGATTCTAGCTCACTTACCTTTTTTATTGAAGGTTTAATCTTTTTGATTGGCTTCTTGTTGCTTTCATAGTGTTCAAAGTTTAGTATAAAGGTATTGCCAGACCTAGTCAAGAAATACAGGAAATCAATCATTATGAGACAGTATAGTCATCCTGTTATACTGTGTAATTATTGATTACCATTACAATTATTACCATCACTATCAATGACCATTACAGTGACTATTACTATCACCACCACCGCCACCATCAATATGGCATCATCCTGAAGTGCCAACACCCTCACCATTATCATTCACATCACTATCACTGACGTCATTAACACGTAAATCATAATAACTATGACAGAACGTATGTACTCACATATTGAAGTGAATCTTGTACCAAGGGTCCAAGACAGGCTTAGCTAGCTGATCTGGAGGTGGTTTGATAGTAGTTGTGGTACCAGGTTTAACGATTTTAATCTCYTCCGTGCTGTCAAGGGTCACAAGTTTTCCAGACACACACGTCACAGCTCGAACCTTCAAATCAATCATTCATTAGATAAGTTTATCTCAGGTACTAAGTGAAATGGATCAATAGTAGAAAGGCAAAACTCATTGAGGGAAAGGATTGTTAACAACATTGAGAACTTATAGTAAAAATATTATCGACTGATGGGCATGTATGTTGCTTGCATTGCTTGGTGGTCTGTGGTGATTGAAGAGGTGAGGAGAAAAGAAGAGGGGCAAAGAATAGAAGGGGAGGGGCGAAGAAGAGAAGGAGAGGGGCAAAGAATAGAAGGAGAGGGGCCAAGAAGAAAAGGAGAGGGGCAAAGAATAGAAGGAGAGGGGCAAAGAAGAGAAGGAGAGGGGCAAAGAAGAGAAGGAGAGGGGCAAAGAAGAGGAGAGGGGCCAAGAAGAGGAGAGGGGCAAAGAAGAGAAAAAAGACAGGCATAGAAGACCTCTATTTCCTTCATAACATCGCAGACTGCCGAGCAGCAGCACAGGCTAGCATGTATCTGACACAAAATTATGCGTCTACTCATGGCTTAAGCCAAGGAAAAAATGAGCTTACCTTAGAAGCTTTCAATTCTAGAGAAACGAAGTCATTTTCACACATTTGATCAGCTTGTCGTATTATCCTTTTCTTGGTAAACAAAGTTGGGCCAAGGTACAAAAGCAGGGCATCAGTGAGTCGTGGCTTGATAAACAGCTCGATGTCTTTTATTGTGGAGAAGTCTCGAGAGACAGGAGGTGCAAGATGATTAGAAACGGTTTCATTTGTGAAGTCCATCACCACAGACATCTTGTTAAGCAGCTCCCGGGAATCACTCAGCATATCCTGATAACGAAAAGTAAAATGTCAGTAGCCAAACTTGAGAATAGAGACCTTTAGCATAAGGTTTACCGCTAACTGCTCGGGATAAGACACCGAAAAACGCCAGCAAACACGGAGAAGCACTCAGCATCAATGAAATATGGCGGCTCTTCCAGCAATAACTTTTTCATGATGCCTTGCAAAGTGTTGAAAGTTTGACGGAAAACGCCTGACATCGAACTGCAGTTTGTCCGGCTAACATTAAACAGGCAGAAACAAAGGCTTTAGTTCTCATGGGAAAGAACATGGCTGCCGCATGACCAAAGGTCGATTGCATTCTTCCAAATAGAGGGCCTGAATCTTAAAATTCCCCTTTGTCCAGGAAGGAGGCTTAAAACTTACACGACCCTCGCTTGTCCAGGAAAAAATGATGGCCTTAAAACAACGACAGTTTTTCCAGGAAGAATTTTACACTGCCTTCCTTCGTCCAGGAAGACCTAGAACTTTCACCTCTACTTTATTGTAGAAGTACTGGCCTTTAAACTTTGACTCCTTCATTTTTTCCAGGAAGAAGGCAAGAAACTCTTACACCAGCCTCAGGTTTGTCTTACCTGAATTTCTTCTATTACATCCAAGACATTATCTTTCAACTCCTTAAGAATCCTGGTTTGATTAATGCGCACAATCCGGATGCTTTCCTTAATGTGCATTGACTTGTTCAAAGCATCCATTACTTGATCTTCAGCCTCGGAGATGTTCCTGTTTGCTGCAACGATCGAGTTCTGGAGTTCTTTCAGTCCAGGCAGCTGACCCTAAACAAGATCAAGTAACAGCTCTCATGACTTTGTGTTATATCAGCAAAATCAAGACATATTTGACTGAGGAGTCAATAGCCTTTCCCAAGGGGCCTTGGGCCGAATTGATTTGTTACCATAGTGATATATTAACGCTGCTGTTTGAAGTAAGAAGACTATTAGCCTGCCTTCTTGGGGGTCTGCGGCGTTGCAGTGCTCCTATTCGCAGCACTGCAGACCGACGAGCAACACATGCCAGAGGACTGTTTTGAGGAGGAGTTTCAAACTGAACAATATATACAACATGGGAATCAAACCTCAATATCCTTAGCGATTCTGTAAGCATCATCTGCCATCATTTCAGAATCAGTGGCATTTTGTTGAGCACTTTTTGCCTTTGCACCTGAATATGAGAAAAAATATTGGTCAATACTCAAAATCAAAATACTCACATCCTATAGAAGGCCCCATTTTTGGGGGGGTGGGGGGGGAGTTTTTTGAGGGGATGTGGATGTACCTAAATCGCGTTGGCGTTCCTGTTTTAAGTGACACCTTTTTCAACGTAAGAATCATGATCAAAACAAGCGCATTGCTGCAACTAGTATGCCAACATAAAGACCTTTTTGTAAGTAGATGTATTTAAATATTGGGTTGGGTCCCTGTGCTAATATGTAATTGATAATATGAGTGATATTTCGAGTGATATTTTAACTCCATGATCTTTACTTACCCATGTCTCCATATTTATCTATGTCATCAAAGGTGTTGTTTATCATCCCTAGATCTTCTTCCACTGATGTGATTTTCTTTTTTAGCTGCGCAATGCGATCCTTTAAATTATCCAGTAGTTTCTGCAAATGATTGTCAACTCTGTCTTTGACCGAGGAGGAAGAGTTAGCCAGTTTTTGACTTTCGGCGTTCGTGGCTTCTGCTCGGGAGTTGACGGCTTTCGACTAGTAGAAAAAAGAATAATTTGTAATAAGTTCAAAACATTGCTCTTTCTCCTTCACCTCGTGCCTCGCCTCACCTCACCTCGCCTCTCCTCGCTTCTTATTTCCAAATTGGTCCAGTTATTCCTTTTCCAGTTAACCCTTTTCAAAATTATCTTGGATGCAAGGGAAACTGGAAAAATACATCACACTTTTTCTCAGTAGAATTTGTGCCATTTGTTTTGTGTATTTGGGGTCCTTTTCAGAATAATCGATATCATTTAAATAAATATACCATACATTATATTAAGGCAAGTGTTCACACAACATACCTGCTCCTGGGCTTCGGTTGCGTTTCCCTCAGCTTGCCTAGCAATTGCCAGCGCTTCGTTGAGTTTCAATGCAATGTTTGCATACGCCTTTGAAGCGTTGATTGCTTTCTCAGCAAACTGTTGGGTGTCTGTCAGGAGATCTTCCAGAATCTTGGCCTGTTTTCTAAGAACTTCGGAATGATTGGACGCTTTAGCTGCTAAAGGGTGGAGCATATCGATTGCCATGGTTAAGTTCTTGAACCTGTCGTAGACTTGACGAATCAGATCATCTAGTCTTCCGAAGCTACCATTAAAGTGCTGTATACATATATAGGAAACAAATGTAAACATCGGTATCTTGATCTTGCTGGACACGTTCCTATGCTCCTTTGGGTACTCTCCACCCAAACGGTTTGCCCAGTTCAAACCAAAACAAATATACCGGAACTTCCACTGGTTTCTGTAAAGGGGGTGTGAAGGGCATTTATGTTGATGTTTGTTTTTTTGTTTTGCTTTGCTTTGTTTTGTTTGCGCACATCATTTCTTCTGGAGAAGTCTTGCACAACAGTTTTCAAAGGTTACCATACAGAGTTATTCAGCAGTGTGTTTGACCTTTTACAGTTTAGTTTAGTTTGCTGATTTCGTCACTAAAGTAGATACACACACTACGCCTAAGAGAAATTACTAACAAAACAACACCAAAAAGGAAAGAAAAGACGAGCATGTGACAGGTAGCGGTAACATGACACAGTCCCAATTGACAACTGCCCCCTTAAAGTAAAAAAGAATAAATAAATAAAACAAAAATAAAGCAAAAAAAATAAGAGGTGATGCATCAACTGTGCTTCCCAAAAAATAATTTCAGAAAATACTTGTCCATAATCTTGTAGAGATGTTTACGGAATATTAAACTGTATTTATGTATACAGCACTCTTACCTCAAAATTTCTGGTAGCGTTCATTAGACTGGACGAGGCCCGGCCTAAAATTTCTTGAACCATCTTCAGAGAGTTTTCCATTTGTTTCTTTTTAGCCTTTGCTTTCATGATTGGAGTCTGGAGATTGAAGTATGAATAAAGACATCAAACAATTGAGGATTTCACTACTAAACATGATAAAGTGGTTTTGGTTTGAGTAAGAAATTTATGGTTTTGACTAGCAAGTACACGGTTTGGCATGCCGTAACATTGAAGGGGCTTCTTATTGTCTCCGTGTGTCTCATCCAATCACAACACGGCTATGGTGCAGTCACGGTACGTCTACGAATTTATCGTTTACCACCAAAACCGAGCTAAGACCGTTGTAAAATGACCTTTAAAATACGCATTTTTCAGTTATCAAGTGTTTGCGCACTTCTGTTAGGTCTGGTTTTCACTTGCGTCGTAATTGGAGTAATTTGATCCTGTGGTACGAAGCTTGGTGTACGTGCACATACACCAAGCTTGGCGCAAGCTTGGCGCAAACATGAAGTTTACTATATTCTATTTACAAACCATTGAATCATATTTCTTGCTTTTCTCGTTCCACTGTTCTGCCATGCTGACGTTCTTCAGGATTCCTAAAATCTTATCCAACAGCCCATTAAACTCTCCTTTCAGCTTAGCGATCATTTCCCTAGCCCTCTGGGCCTCGTTGTGGAGACCAAGAGTCTCATTTAGCAGCATCTTGGCATTGTCAGATACTGACTCGATAAAGCTCAGCTCTTGATTGACGGTGTTGTTTAAGGATGTGAAGTCTCTGTTCTGAAGTTCTTTGAGGATTCGCTCTGCTTCTTCTAGTAACATGGTTTGGTTTGCAGTACCTGTTTGCAGTTTCTCGACGATGTTGCCAGACAAGTTGATAATACCTAAAATAGAGACAGGAATAACAGTAAACGAAAAGATTACATAATTCATGTTTTCCCATTTACCACGTGTCGTTTTCGTGATTACCATTTCTTTGTTTAACGGTTGCGCATTAAAAGTGTACATAAATATGCATACAATATGTTATTCTCAAGATAATTAAGCTTAAGACACACGGTGCAACGTTGCATGCAACAAATCTGAAATTGAATCGAGCTCTACTCTTGCCACATTGCGTGCATGGCTGCAACATTGCGTGCAACATTTAAAATTTTGATTCAATCAGCTTGCAACAAATCTATAACCGCTGATCAAATTTCTTAGCAAAGCGCGCTGACACAAGCGTGATTTCGTTGCAACGTGTGTCACCCCGGTTCAAATTTGTTGCGTGCAATGTTACGTGCAATGTTGCACCGTGTGTCAGCACCTTTACACTTGGTCTGAAATTGGAAAACATTACGTTGAAGATACAAGGTTCTATTCAAGGCAGAGTCGAACACACGCTGCTAATCTTTGGGAAGAGAGTGTTTGGTTTAACGCACATCATGGAAGCCAAGGTAGAGTACTTCTGCACTAGTTTCACACATAACATGACTCATAGTTCTTTAAGCGCAGAACACTCGTTTTTGTGTAATAGGCGCATGCTACTTGACTTTCACTTTTTGGATGGTGATGGAGCTTGATGGACAAGTTTTGTCCCTCAATGTAGTCTAATAACAAGGTTCTGTCAAGCAACAGCCCAGTTTTATTATAGAAATCAAGGGTGTGAAAGCGGTAGTGCATTCAACTCTAGATCTTGGGTTTACCAAGTCCAGACTTTGTTACGTCTCTCCCTCAATTTGAGGCGGTTTTCTCCAGGTTCTCCGGTTTTTTCTCTTCTCCTCAAAAACTAAGGCTCGTGTCAAACGTAGAACTTCACATGAGCCGAACCTAAATACATCAAAGAAGACTGCCTTGTTATCCATTGTTTCAATTAGGTTCGGCTCATGCAAAGTTCGACGTTTGACCTGAGCCTAACAATCTAAATTCCAATTTGATCTGTAAGTCAGCCAGCCCTTACTTTGATCAGCCCAGAGGTTGCTTTAGAGTGTCGATAAAATACAAAGATTCATTACACTATGTTAAAAAAAACTTACTGCGCGATCTGTTGAGAGCGTCACGAATGTCCTGCTCCAGAATCAAAGCATCTGTCTTGGTTTTAGTTGCATTCTTAGAAGACTCCTTGGCACCCTTATGGACCATAGACGCTTGGTCTTGCATTGTGTTGGTCTTGGTCTCGCTTTCACTGGTTCTTTCCAACAAGGATTTATCTGGACCTGGTACTGGCTGGACGAAATCTGAGGTATCAAAGAGACGTTAATGGTTATTAGAGAAAACAACAGAGGACAGCAATACACAGTGACAAGTGAAGACCAGGGACAAGRGTTGTCCCCACGTTTGTAGTGCGCTTCAAGACAAAATTATATAAGAACTTTTCATTGTGAAACAGTCATATGAGTTTTAGTCGGATGATACCATTTCCCCCTAGTTAAATGTTTTACGCGAGTTTCAAGACAAAATTCTTTACTAATTTATTAAGAAATTCTGTATCAGTTTGAGTCAAGGGTAGCGTAACGGTAGCACATTCCAGTCGCCTCTAGGGGCTGACATTCGACTTCTGAACTCCGCATGTCATTTAAGTAGAGTTCGTTAGATCACTTCCTCGATTCCAGGGTTTTTTTCCGCCGGGTTCTCTGGTTTTCCTCGCTCCGCAGAACCTAATTCACGCGCTAAATTCCTGTTGCATCTGTGAGTTAGTGATGCCCTGGTTTGGTTGTTTGAGTCGATCTGTGAGTTAGGGTATGATCTGCCAGTAAGCTATCTATGCCCGAGAGCATAAATAAGAGGAGGGGGGACTTCTTATTATCGTACGCGCCATGTAAATTCCCGTTTAAGCTATTTTTAGTAACCGGATGCAGTTTAAATTTCGCCTTACCCTACTGTCGTGCGTCATTAACTTGCGCGCGTGTTCTCTTGCGGTTTCGTTTTTTTTTGAAGGAATCAGAACAACACTATACAAGAAATTTCCCTCTCTTATTCATGCTCTCTTGCTATGCCCTTATTTTGCTCAGCTAATAATAACAATAATAATAATGATAATAATAATAATAAACTCTTTATTTACTGAGGGTAGCACTAAATAGCAATATGCTAACAAACCTGTGGCCCTCTAATATATAAACTATGAAGATATGTGTATAAAAAACTATAGAATTATAACTACAAGATAAAAACCCCTTTACTGAAAAATAAGTTCAGGGTATTGATAAAATAAGGTTTTTTAGGTTAATTACTACCTGGATGACAGGCTTTCTTTAACACAGATATCTGTTGCGCGTTTAGTGGTTGATCGAATATCTGAAGACAAGCCACAGCACCACTGAAGAAATCATCCACATTAGGCACAGCACCCATTCGCACTTCCTTAGAATCGGTAGCAAGGGGTAACTTTGAGTTCAGGGGGGTTCGTTGTACCAGTTGATCATCAACCCGAAATTCAATCATTCCTGAAAAACATGGCAACTGTTAGTAAATATTTTATCTGATGTCTCTCCACTGTGAAGCAAGAACTGCAGCAAGTGCTGCTGCAAAACAAGTTGCGGAGAAAATAGCTCCGTGTAATCACTCCTTAAAGAAAGTTTAACGTTTTACTGATGTTGCCGCTCTTAAGTGCCCAGCCCAACCCATCCCTAGACTACCCACCCACAAAACAAAACCCCTGATGTGATATATCACGTGATAACCCTGAAGGTAATAACAATGTAAGAAACAACGTACGAACCTGCTTCATAATCATAAACCATTGCCAGGTGAATCCATTTGTTCCTAGTCATACTCTGGCTTTTTCGACAGTTTGGAAATCGACCAACTGTAAAGCACGCTTCAATGACGTCGTTTTCAATCACCCAAATCCTTGCTTTGTTGAGGCCAAAGTGCATTATAGGGCCTACCATGCCTTCATGTTTCACCCACAGGAGAATCGACGAGGACCTGAAAAACATCCCAGAATGATTAACTATCAAACACATGGTTCCGCGTTATATTTCTCAGAGCGACATGTTGGCATATGCACTCTGGTCTAGCTTGGGTACAAACAACACCATATGAGGCATTATGGAAATATATCCAGAATTATTAACTATCATACACATAAATATGCATTTTATTTCTGTGAGTGACATGTTTGAATAGACTCCTTTTTGAGTTCGACAAACAAGGTGCATTCTGGTCTAGCTTGGATACAAACAACACCGTATAAAGCATGATAGCAAAACATCAAGAATGATTAACCACATATATTTTTAATGAGAACGAAATATAGACCTTTTCTAARTTTAATAATACAAGGTGCATTCTGGTCTAGCTCGGGTACAAACGACACCATATGAGACAACAATGAACAAAAGATGTTTGTGCACCACGTTCGGTATACCAACCTCTTGGAGTGTAGTTTTCCGTCGTTCTTCACTTGGATGAAGCTGTTTTGATTTCCCTGTAGCTGTACCGCAGACTCAGGTCCATCAGGACCATCTACCCAATCAGTATTAGACAGTTGTGCATCAACAAGTCCCCGGTTACTGATATCTTTCCCTCCTGTCCTTTTGTCCAGCGGATACCGTGCCAACGGTCGGGGATTGGCTGATGAATAATATAGTTTATAAGTTTAGTGTATTATAGAGTGAAAGCATTTAATCCCGGCCGTGAAATAATAAAACAATTAGTCAACGTGTAATACTCAAATAGACACAAAAGAAAAGAATTAGGGTCTACAGCAGTGTATTAGTCTAATTTCTATTTCACAGGTTTAGTGACTTCACTCTAATTCGTCACACACTAAGAAAAAAAGTAGATTTGAATTGTCCAAAACATTGCGTTAGCCGAATTGGTCTATTGAAAACCGACACCTAAACGTTTTTTACTTTAACCAGACAGATAAAACATGTAAAAACTTCGTAAAGATTTGAGGGAGAACTGACGAATTCAAAATTTTACCTGTGCCATTGACGATTGATACTCCAACTATAACAGACATCGATTCCATAGTATTACTATACTTGTTAGTTGGTGGAATAAGCCTGGATAACAAAGGGCAATTCAAACACTAGAAACAACTATAAATGCAATTTTGCAGAAGAATAGCTAGTACAACACCAATGCCGATTTGTTTTTTATCGCGCAATAGGTCTGGCGTACTAAGGCAGTGCCGTGTCCTTGGCGTGAGCGTTTGAGCCAGTAGATTTTCACAGTCATATGAAATTTTTGTTGTTGTGAAGTGTGATCGTCCGGGTGAGTGTAGTCTTGAGAAAGACTGTTGCTGGTGGTGCTTGACGTTTCGACAACCTAAGCGGAAGTCATCTTCAGAGTCCAGTGCGAAAACGAAAGGGAGTAAAGACTAAAACAATTTGCTTTGGTGTAATATTTCTTACTTATTGAGAGTATCGTTGAGGTCTTTATACTTGGCTTGTGCAATCTGTCCCGCTGCGCCCTTCTTTAGACGATTCAACACAGTGGTGATATTCTCGTCTAACCCTTGCGCAACATCCAGCAGTCGTCCAACACACTCCCCGCAGAATTCACAACCGCTGGGTGTCAGGATATGGTTAGGTGGACAAATGGTGCAGTTTCCACCGCGTTTACAACACTGTCCTGTGTTGACATCACAGAATCCCCACAGATTGGCCGCATCTTTAGGACAGTTGCAAGCTAACAACAAATAAAAACAAACCGAATGAATGTCAAAGTGTCTAATAAATTTTAAAAATCTATGAATTCTTTAGTGCGCATTAAATTTTATATGCGTTAGGCACAGTTAACATCGAGGAGTTTCTGGCCAGCAGTCTCTCTCGCAACAGCAATACGCGGGATGCCCCTCAAGCCACACTAGGGTCTTCTTTTGTGAGGAATGTATTCCATGCTTGAGAGCTTGCTATGTTGTGCATTTATTACCTAGTTCCATGCTCGCTCAATCTTAGGCAATCAATGAGTTGAAGTCTAGAATACCTTGGCATCCATCAACTTGGTAGTTCCAGAATCCTGCCTGACATCGTTCACATCTCCTACCGATTGCTCCTGGTTTACAGATACACTGACCGGTCTTGACATCACACGACGCTCCTAGAGACGCGTTGGCGCAGTTACAGTCTTCACATCCGAGACAACTGTCGAAGTTCCATGTGTTGGCCTGAGAATTTTAGAGATCGCAAATTTGCTTTAGTGACTAGAGTTATTTTGACCGTTATTATTCTCCTGGAAGAATGGAGTCGTTTTCGAAATTTTAAAGAGTTTACGTCAAAAGGAAGATTTGCATCCAAAAAATGTTTACGTCAAAAAAATTGGTGACAAAAAAAGTTTTTACTTGAAGAATTTCTAGCTAGATTCTTAGTCAAATTGATCGCTTTCTTCACATCGATGGAGTCATATCAAAAATAACTCTGAATTTTACAATGCTTCTCAATAGCGCGCACAGAAACGTCGTCGCGATGAAGTAGGTTTTTATTGAACGTTTTAATAATATTCCGTAGGCACGCGACCTTGGAAAAAAAAAACATTGAAAACTTTGAGTTTTCCGACAATGTTATGGAAACCCATCGATTGATGTCCACCAAAACTTTATTTTGTCGCAACCACAAATTGTACAAGGCGTGCTGTCAGTGAATGAATAAGTACATGTACCAAAAGATCCCCTTCAACTCACCTTACACGTGTCACATCGTTCACCCATCACATTGTTCTTACACATACACGCCCCGGACGCATAATTACACAATGACGTCATAGCTCCGCACGCACTGCACTTGCACTTTTGACAGTTCTTAGCAACCACAGCATCTCCATAGTAACCATCCCGACAACGCTCACAGTTATCTCCGGCAGCTTTGTTGATGCATTTGGTGCACACTCCGGTAAAAGGATCGCAGCTGCCTGGAGCTTGAGGATCTATGTTGTCATTACACTTGCACGGCTTGCAGTAGTCACCAGGCACAGTTGGGTCTCCATAGTAACCGTCTGCGCACTGGTCGCACTGAAGTCCTGTGTAGCCCGTGTTGCATACGCATGTCAGCTGGCCATTGATATCGACGGCGCATTCAGATGCAAAGCTGTTGGAAGAGATCCCCAAAGGACATTTACAAAGTTGGCAGTCGTTTGGGGTTCCTTTGGTACCGTTGCCATAGTATCCTTTGACGCAGGTCTGACAGCGATCGCCTGAAACGTTTAAATTTAAAACAAATCGTAAATATCGTAAATATAACAATATTGAGTACCATTCACACTAAGTATTCAATGAAATACTTAAACTAAAAAATAGTTTCGGCATACACCAGAGTAGCTTCCTCTGGTGACTGTCCTCGCATTTTGTATACCGTAATCWGCTAGGTTTCGGGCTTGGAATCCCTGCGTATTACCGTTAATGAGCAGGCCTAGTGATCAGCACAACACAGGAATCCCATAAAGGGTACAGCGAGAGCTGTTTGAGAACTGAGAGGCTAAGGAAAACAACTTATTCTGTTATGCATGGATACAAAAGTGAACCTAATCAAGGGTGTCTAGGGTGACGTAACGATAGTAAACTACCCTCTCACCTCTGGAGTCTTGAATCGATACCCAGATGACTCCGCATCATATATGAGTAGAGTTTATTAGGTCTCCCCCTTCATTCGAGGGGTTTTCCCTAGTTCTCTTTTTTTCCTCCCTCTGTAAAACCATACCGCTGAATTAGCCGTGCCCTGACTTTGATCAGCTCTGACGGGTTCTTTGAGGGTATCGATAAGACTTTAAAGGTTTAAGGTGGCTGGACCCCCTCACGCTTGACCGTTACCTTCCACGTTTGGAACGCTGGTGCATAAACGTGTTTTATCCGATTGCAAATCTTTTTTGCACATAAGTCACATAAAGATTGGATTAATGTTTGATTCAATTTTTAATAAGATCGGACGTCATAACAAGTGATTATGATGAAATATTTGTTTTCGTTTAGAGAGCAATTTTAGCCTTGCAGAGCGTTCAACACTAAAATGCTTCGTACCACATAATTATATACTAGATGCCTCCATTTGTAGGGATTTTTGAAAAAATCTATCTACCTAATTATGAGATATTTGAGATTATTTGAATATGGTTCATAATCTACTTCAAAACTAAACAATGGATTTGATACGGCCAAAATTAATTTTCAGAGCTATATATTCACAAAAGTCATTGCTYATTTAGTTTTACTCTGTATCTAGTCTTAAAAGGAACATTTTGAAGGTAATCGACTTATGCGATTTYRTGAAAACGTATARTGCATAAGACGGGGTAAACATTCGATGCGCACTTTTCATCGCAGTTTTCTAGTCAATCTTATTAGATCTTCCATTATTCTAAAATTCGCTGATGATTTCTCTCAAAACTACGTCAGGATACAAGTTAGAACTTAAACTAATATTGCACAAAATTGCAAGATTATTGAACTCATTTAAAGCGGTCTAAAGCGAACGAGAGATACAGAAAACATTGATCGTTTCCCAATGATTTGATGCTCTGGGAATTCTATTGTTTGCTAATGACCATAACACCAAATTCTTTCGCACCATGCAATAGTCTTGCAATTTTGTGTAATATTAGTTTAAGTTCTAATTTGTATCCTGACGTAGTTTTGAGACAAATTATTTACGAATATTAGAATAATGGAAGATCTAGTAAGATTGACTAGAAAACTGCGATGAAAAGTGCGCATCGAATGTTTACCCCGTCTTATGCATTATACGTTTTCACAAAATCGCATAAGTCGATTACCTTCAAAATGTTCCTTTTAAGACTAGATACAGAGTAAAACTAAATGAGCAATGACTTTTGTGAATATATAGCTCTGAAAATTAATTTCGGCCGTATCAAATCCATTGTTTAGTTTTGAAGTAGATTATGAACTATATTTAAATAATTTCAAATATCTCATAATTAGGTAGATAGATTTTTTCAAAAATCCCTACAAATGGAGGCATCTAATATATAATTATGTGGTACGAAGCATCTTAGTGTTGAACGCTCTGCAAGGCTAAAATTGCTCTCTAAACGAAAACAAATATTTCATCATAATCACGTGTTATGACGTCCGATCTCATTAAAAACTGCATCAAACATTAATTCAATCTTTATGTGACTTATGTGCAAAAAAGATTTGCAATCGGATAAAACACGTTTATGCACTAGCGTTCCAAACGTGGAAGGTAGCGGTCAAGCGTGAGGGGGTCCAGCCACCTTAAAGTTAAGAAGTCTTTCAATTTGCAGCTGCATAAGTTGCTTCACATACTGCGAGGATCAGCTCAATTCGATACATTACAACCGCAGTACAAATATATATTTCATATATATTCCCCCATACACAGTTAAGAAGTTCGTTGCAGTGGTTCTCATACCTGTTGTTTTGTGGAGACAGCCATAACATTCGCCAGTTTCTGGATGACAGTCATTAGAGTGACCATTACACTGACATGTGACACAGGTCCTGTTGTCGGCACCACGTGTATATCCTTTACCACAAAACTGACATACAAGATTGTAAAAGTTAAAGACACTCTCGTTGCTCAAATTTGGGTTTCTTAGCATTATATTGTGGGTGCAAATCAAGAGGAAATGTTTTTCAAAAACGAAGGCCTAAACCTCATAACTATCATTTTCGAATAAAATTTTTGCATTTTGATTCCATTTTCATCGGTCATCTCCACTTCCAAACAAGCCGTTAAACTTTCTTAATAACAAGACTTTAGTCTTGTACAACAGCCTTTCTTTAAGAAAATAGGTTTTTTTTGTGCTCACCGCTTGAATACGAAAAGAATTTTCTCTTAATATTTAAGAGGTCATCGACAACAAAAAAGGAGCATGAAGGGTGCGGTACTTACCTCGCAAGAGGTACCAGAAGCCTTGGCTGGACAGACGCACTTTTCGACTTCGTTTGCGATTTCACCGACACTCGATTCTAAAGCAGATTCCATGAGCACGTCAGAAATGGTTGTGTCAGCTACAGCAGTGCTGTAAGAAGCACGCAGCCTGACTGACTCAATGTCTGCTAAGATAGACATGAAGTCTGCACGGCTTGATCGACTGTTGTTAGCAACAGACCACAAGGACTGGAGAAAAGAAAGCAAGATATCAAAAATGAATTCACTAATAAAGATGAAAAAGTTATAGATATATCTATCTGAGTGAGTTGCGTAACAGCTAAATATATGTCAAAAAGAAAGTAGAATGCAGGTATTTCTAAGAAGATCAGATTGACAGCCACCAAGTTTGAGCACAAACCGAACGTATCATTTTTTATAAAAAGTAGAAACGGTTACGTGTAAACGGTATGTACAGGTCAAATTCCTGACCGGTTAGAAATTCGTCCGGTGCCGTGTAAACCCAGCCTAAATGCGTATATCCCTTTCCTACGCGCAGTGCCAACCAACTCGTCCTTCACTATTAACCTTATCATCTTGCGCACCACTCAAAACTTGTGAAAACTTTAATTCAAGCGCATGGTTGGAACTAAAGGTAGTACCTCATTGAAGTGTGCTTGTATCTTGTGGACTCTGTTCGGTTGGAGCGTCATTTGTTTTTTGTAGGTCATTTCTACTCCATTTTTCCCTCTGATGATAACATCAGGATAGGTAGTCAGGACTGGCGTAGTCACCTCTACTGGTACTGTATACCTTAGTAAGTAAGTTAGACTACCTCCATATGAATAAATCTGAAATATGACGGCATAAGTAAAGCTTTAAAAATGTGTCCAAAAAACAATTAGCACTTTCAAATATTATTCCATTCATCCATTCATCTGTGCATTTGCGAGTGCTGCTTTCGAGGTCCAGCGGGAATCCCTCAATGTAGATGCGCAGTAAGTGTGTGCACTTCACATAAGTGGCTTCTATTTCTTGTCTACGTGAATATCTTCGAGAGACGTGATTCTTGGTTTGCTTGTGACGCCATAGCCGCCATGTTAGATGACCAAAAGACTTGGTCTTGTTTTCTTATGTTATGCCAACCAACATGGCGGCCATGTCTTTTGTCCTTGTGCATGTGACGTCCTAGCCGTCATGTTGGATGACAAAAATGCTTGGTCGTTTGCTTAAGTTATACCAACCAACAAGGCGGCCATGACTTTTGTCCGAGTGCATGTGACGTGCTAACCACCATGTTGGATGACCAAAAGACTTGGTCGTTTGTTACGTTATGCCAACAACCATGGCGGCCATCTTTTGTTCTTTTAGTCTCATACGAAAGAACGCGCACCACCTATAACTATGAATCCCTGCAGTAAGGTACACTGGTTATAAATCCTCCATACCTGTTTTCCTGTGTACTTGTCTGGTGCCATCCAGTAGATGGGTTTGCCTGGGTTTGTTCTCTTGCCAGCTACAGACACCATTACTGTGGTCAGGGCACTCTTGATTACCTGAGCAGGAGTATTTTCTATGCGCCAGCCATCCATTTGTCTGATAGCGAATCTATAACACGATATGAGTTATAGGAATGATTAGCATTTTGGATTTATTGAGACATGGAATTCCTAAGACTACGAGGAGAATCTAAGGTGCAGCCTGTATAGGGAATAGACATATCCCGAATTCGCTTGACTGACCACGAAACAATGGTTTGAAGTCGAGACTGAACTCGATTCTTTTATTCATCAAGTTCAACCTCGACTTGAAACCATTGTTTCGTGACCAGTCAAGCGAATGCGGGATAGGTCTATTGGAAGGAATAGGACTACCCTCGTTTAAGAATCTTTAGCATGGTCAATATTTTTTTCCGAGCACAACAATAAGGTGCATTCTGGTCTAGTTTGTTTACAAAAAACACTACATAAGGCCTGATGAACAAGATGCTTGTACCGTACGGCCTATTTCAGGGTTGATTTTCTGTTACCTTTTAAGAATGGAGCTTGAACATATCTTAGACAATCCTGAGCACCAGCACGATGTACAACCATTAGGGTTCTTGGCATCGAGGTTATAGTAGCCCGCTGCACATGTATCACAACGCCTTCCTATTACACCAGCCTGTTACAGATAATGATATCAATAATGTGTCTGATACAGATGATGATGAAGATGATGATGTGTGCACATGCATCACAACGTCTTCCTAATACACCAGCCTGTTACAGATAATGATATCAATAATGTGTCTCTCACAAATGATAATGATGAGGAGGAGGAGGATGTCAATGATATATTAATGCCGGTGAAAAAAGATAGAATGAGAGATTTCTAGGGAAAAGGCTAAGTATTTAAGATAATCGAGAACATTAAGAATTACCTTACAAAGACAAGTTCCTTTAGCATCACATACATCACTGACCACACCCCGGTTATCGCAGTCGCATTTATCACAGTACGGGTAACCATAGCGACCAGGTACACATTGATTACATCGGCGACCTGTGTGTGAGGGCTTACAGGGACATTTTCCCGTGACTGGATCACAAGCAACATCACCACCAATAACACCAGACACGTCACACTTGCAGTCCTGACAGCCCAAGATGGGGTCATATCCGTAGGTCCCCTTGAGGCAGACCTCACAGTTGCGTCCAACGGTGTTGGTAGGACAATCACATGCTCCCGTCACCTCGTTACAGAAGACACATTGGCATTCTAAAAGTGAAAGAAATGAATGGAATTTGGAAAATGGAGTAATACTGCTGTTTTTGAACGACCAGGCACACTTATTTGCACAAGCAAGACAAGCACTTACTGTAACAGTTTGGGAAACCATAGTAACCAGTCTTACACCTGTTGCACTTGCGACCAATGACGTTTTGTTTACAGCGACACTGACCACCAAACTTGCTACATTCACTGTCTACAGCTCCTTGGGCGTCACACTCACAAGGGAATGTCCTGGAGATAAAAAAGAAAGAATAATTCAATTATTACCAGTCATTCTATGCAACTTTAGTTCCGGTTTTAAGATTAAGTTTTATAAAGTTGGAGACTGACCGGAAGGGGTATCATTTAGTTATCATGCGCTAACACATTTAATGAAAAAATAAATAAAATAAAATAAATAGGATTTAGCAGTGGCATTTCCACAGAGTAGCTCCTCATCCACTAGATTCCAATTGGAATACGCCTGAAGCGAGATGACGTTTTACCCCCGTCTCTAGACCATAAACCTTTTCAAACTGCTTTTGTTCTTTAGTTATGACTATTGTTCCTGTATTCTCTAAAGAATCAAAAATTTTAATATGAAAGAATTTTAAAAACTATTATGGTCTAGAGTCGGGGGTAAAACGTCATCTCGCTTCAGGCTTATTTAGAAGTTGATTTTTGGCGGAGGGAGGAAAACCGGAGAACCCAGAAAACCCTCGAAGTACTGGAGAGAACCAACAAACAACTCTACTCACATACGATACCGAGCATGGAGAGACTTGAACCCGGGTCACATTGGTGAGAGGCGAGCGCTCACACCGCTACCTCATCCATGCTTTAATGTTTTCTCTATTTTTCTTTTCTTTTTTCTTCTTTTTTTTGTTAGATTTTAATCGAGGGTTGGAAGTGGCAATTTCCAACATGGTTCCATGATCTCAACTCGATCGATTTTTCAAAGAAAATACAATCTTCGTTTTACCAAATCTAGCTTTTACACACTCAAAACCACTTACCCATCGTTAAATGCCGTAACAAGTGAGAAGACAGGCTTAGTGCAAATGGATGAAGCAGAGGGCTTGATAAAGAAACTGTCCTTAGCACAGTCCACGACAAAATCCTTGGAGAAGGAAACGGGGTTTGGATCAGCTACCTCTTGAGAAAACTTGTCTCGTGGAATGAAGAGAACATAGTCCTGTAGAAAATAAAAAAAAGATAAATTGAATTGACCAGTCGCTCTTCTTTTGAGTCAATATTTCTTGGAAATAACCACAAGAGTTATCACTGAATTTTAGGAGGTACCGTGGAGAAGGGGCTTTAATATATAATCATAGATGAAATATCTATTTTTCTCTGTTACTTAAAAGTGTTATTTTCACACGTGAAAATAACATCATTGGTAATAATTCGATAAACATATTTTAAACAGAATATTACATGGCCGTTGCAGTTACGGATCTTACCTTCTCGTTTTGAAAATATCTTACTCATTCGCTGCGTTCACTCAACACTCGGAGATAAAATCCGTATCTCTGCGCGGCGGCTATGTAATATCCTCTATTTAACCTGCCCTCTAATATACACTAAATTTTTGAGTCTTTGTATAATTCTTTTTTCAATCATATAATTTAACTCAGTCCCAGCAGCGGTGTAGCGAGAGTCGGAAAGGCGCGCGCCGCGCTTAGCGAGAATTTTCCCGCCAAATCCACAGAAAGCCCATTATAAGCACTTTTCAGTAATCCTAAACAATTTCTTTCATTTTCGCTTCGTAAGCAAAATATAATGAAATTATGACAAACGACCCAACCCACCACTTCTACTAAACCCTAGGCCACTGAGTACCATCCCCTATGTCTTGTTGAAAGAGGTTAATTAAATACTTACTATCCAAGCCGAGGATCCCCGTGGAATTTCCATCTGGAACTCTCCCGATGGCCTGCCGATATCGAACGCATTCGTCCTGTCATTTTTCTTTTGTACAACGGCTCGGCAGCCTTCAACATTAGGGCAATAATCAAATTGGACTTGCCCAGATATCTTTTTATCGCTGGTTACGGTGGCTTCAGACATGAAGGTCACATGTTTTGGCTGATAGTAATGGACTACGATGGTGTAGTTGCCCGTCTTCAGTTTACTGATACTGTACGAGGTCTAGAAAAGACAGAAGAAACTCAATTATGTGTTATGCTAAGATGAGAGTATGTGGACCGCGTGGCACTAATGAAATAGTAGAAGATAATATAGGTAAGTTGTAGTGCTTGGGAACGAGGTTATTCCGGGCGAAAGCCCTTGGAATTAAATTCGGAAAAATTAATTTCCGACCTCGCTGGGATTCGAACCCACGACCTTCGGAATTGTACTACCGATGCTCTACCAGCTGAGCTAGAGGTCAGACTCAGAGCAGGCCGGGGTGAAATAGATGTTAGGTCGCGGTGATCATCTATTTCTATACATCTATTTCTGTACATCTATTTCATCCTATTTCGTCATTCTTATTTGAAATAACAGCTCCTCTAATTTGTAATTTGTATTTTGCTGTGTACAGTCATAAACTTTGGGATCGGCAGAACACTTGAAAAGCGTTAACAAACACTCTGCTAAATGTTGTGCTTCTTCTAACACTTCTCTCGTGTTCTGCCAATCTCCGCGTGCTTTATAACTGCACACAGCACGTGCGCGTTTAATATTTTTTTAAGCAAAGGGTAAAGAGATTTATGACAATTGGGTACTCTGTGTAGACTCACCTGGCCTTCTAAATACTTGAGAGTGGTTCTAGGGTCCAATATATTAGGAGGCGGTTTACTTCCGTCTGCAGCGACGTCATACTCGACAGCACCTTTAGGGATCGGGTACGATGTGGAAATACATTTATTATTCTTGGTGGTGCAGAGAGGCCTGGGAACTACGTAGTCTAGATTCCATTGTTCAAGTGGAATAGCGGTGATGGAGTCCTGGGTAAAAGAAACAATGAAGCATTAGTCATGACGTATTTCCGGTAGAAATGCGAATTGTAACATTTACTTACCACAGCTACAGATGTATCAGAATCTATCAGAAGAGTTATAACGCGTCGCTCGATTTCATTGGCCTTGAATATCTTTAGTCTCCTGTCTTTATCCAAAGCAACCTGCCGACAGCCAAACTTAAAGCGACAGCTGTGAAGATAAAAGGTTCCTTTCTGCTGGCTGCGTCTTGATCGGAGGTACACGTCTAGCGTCTTGGTTTGGTCCGAAGGATGGTAGTATTGCATGACGAGTACATAGTCTCCTACCTTGGGAAGGTTCACGTCTTCTGTTACACGAGTCTACAAACATGAATTGATGAATAAAAATAAATAAATTTCTTTATTTCATCGATAAAGAACAAACCAAATTTTAGGGGGGGGCTAATTAATTTTCTTCCATCAACACAACGCAAAACAATAAAGAAAACATCTAATTTTTTCTTTGCCCCCCCCCCCCCTGGATCCGCCCTTGCGATGTAGTAACGTGCAATCGGAGAATACTACTAACTTGGGTTCTGTCCAGATAAGCCATAGCGTTGAAGTCCAGTTGTTTCAATACTTTCTTGTCGTCAAACACATGAGTCTGTTGTCTTCCTTGTCGTGTAATGATGTATCCTGTCTCCAGTTCGACAGTAGGGAAGTCAGGTCTGATGGTGTTGATATACGAGTACTGAACACACAGCGGGTCTTGGCTATTCACTATACACGGGTTGTTTACTTTACGTTGGAGGATGTACGCCTCGTAGTATTCTTGAGGGATTGCTGAGATGTAATCCTAAAAAACGAGTGAATAACAAGGAAACTTACTTTGTGTGACTTTACTGACGTTTCAAGCGTTATTCCTTCGTCAGAGGTAAATACAGAAAATATCTATACATTTACGCAAAGATTAGCCCAATATACGCGCAAATACTTCCAACTACATCCAACTGTTCATTCATTAGAGCCGAATACAATTGCATTAAAGATTTTTGCATAAGCAGTGACTTTCAATTACATTAACAGGCAATCATTTACACCGTTTGCAATTCATCAGCAAAGAATGTCACATGTCCATTTTGCGCAGTAATCAATTTTTATTCATATATACTAAAAAAAATAAAACTAGACGTTTTGATCCATGATCTCTAAGCTTCCTCAAACTTTGATGCCTTGTCTTTGGGCATTTCCCTGAATACCACTGTTGGTCTCCACGAAAGTCAAAAGACATACATGGCGGCCATGTTGGCGGTATATGCAAAGAACGTCTCTTATTATATACCTCCAACATTTGCTCTTCTTCGTGTTCTTTCCCCAATATCCCTCCAAGAAACATATGTTAACTACTAACTAAAAGCAAAATGGATATTTATAATCATTTTGACTTACAACAAGAAGCTTAGAGGGGGGTACTTTAAATGTCAAATCCCAAGTCCCCTGTGTCAACATAAACTGAGATGGTTGTCCTGGTTCTCCTGCTGTAGCAAACCCGCTGACATAAGTCGATCCAACTTGAGTAGAACCAAATGTAACAGCACTGCTTTGCTTTGATCCCTGACCACGTGGACTGAGTGAAATTTCTCCCTTGACGGGGTTGCTGTGGTTTAGGGCGTAGTTAAACACAATGTGGTAGCGGCCTGTCCTTGGGACTTCCAAGGTGATCTTGACTTCTTTCTGTTAGTATCGAACAAAAATTAAGTTGTAACATTTTTAAAATGAAATTATGGACTCTCGGGTTCGATTCCTGGACTCATATGTGAGTGGAGTTTGTTAGATCTCCACCATTTCTGTTATTGCGAACATGGTGCATTGTGGTCTAGCTTGGGTGCAAACATCTTTTGTTCATCACGTCTTTCATGATGTTGCTTACCCAAGCTAGACCGGAATGTACCTGGTTTGTCGAGCTCAGAAAAGGCCTTCGATTCGAAAGTTTTTCTCAGGAAGTTACGGTTTCCCTTCCTCCTTAAAGCATAACAAACTAAATTACAATCCAATCTGTGCGTTAGCCGTGCCCTAACTTTGATCAGCTCATTGTTTGTTTTAGAGTTCAAAAACATTTGAATATTTCTTACAGTACCTGCAAAGCGTTGAAGCCAACATATCCTTTCCACGAGAAACCGGGATAGATCGCCTCGTCAAAGCCATATCGCACAGGATTACAGTTAGCATTATCATCTCCTTGCCTGGCGGGATCTGACTGGAATAGACCGGGTACGTCACGACCTTGCACGCCATTAGCTGGAGCAGGGACACAGCCATCTTCTACCTCTGCCTTGACATGAAGTAGATCTGGATAGTAGTATTCTTTGATTGGCCTGAATTGATAAATCATTTTGTCATGTGAGAGGTGTTGATTAACTCTTGGTAAGAAAAAATAGTGCAGACAAAACATTGTTTATTAGCATCATCATGTATCATCATCATCATGCAACATCAGTGTTATCATTCATCATTAAGTATCATCATAAACAGCATAATAAAGTCATCATCATCATCATGCAACATCAG